AAAGAAGCTATTTATCCAGAAATAAATCATTTTAATAGTAGAAACAGAATGTATGAATTATCTAAGGAATAACAAATGAACGACAATCATATAAAACTAAAGCAAGCATTCAAGGATCAAATATCATTCGATTCATTATAACAGAAAAAGGAATAAGCAATCGAAATTATTTTGTTTTACTTGAGCAGAAAGACTAATGAATTCTAAGTCCTTATGTTGTCCATACATGATTAAGCATTTCTATATATGAATTTGTAAATCCACCTCCATGATTTTTCACCTATCTTTTTCTTCAAGTTTACGCTACCATTTATTGCTTATTATTGTATACATAATAATAAAAACATTATCATTAATTAAAATACTAAATGCACTTAAGTTTACATATTAAACCTAAGACACATAATTGACTTAGACGCGAAGACGGTGGTTTTGTTAACGAGTAAACGACTTTTTCCCACTTAAATAATGGTTTAATGAAACTTTCCCACTCACTGATTTTTAAATTTTATTATCCAAATTTATATTCTGTTTCCAATTCCGACATCGTTGCCATCCTACACTACCACCATTCTCTTTCTTGATCATCACTTTCCAAAACCCCTCAAACCCTACTCCCGTGGACCTCGTCAATTGTCGGCAATCCACCGATTAGAGTTTGCACAACCGCCCATCCCAAGTCAAATTTTGATCAATCCCAATTCCCAACCACCAAAATCCAACTTTCCATCATTAAAAGACTCATTGGCCTCCCCTCTTCAAGAGTCCCAACAGTCTGGACCGAGTTTGCTTTCTGTTTGCTGCCAGAATTTAAACTTGGATAGAAAAATAATATTTTAAAAGTCTGTGGGTGAGAAAGTATTATTAAGCCATTATTTGGGTGGGAAAAAGTCGTTAACTCTTTTGTTAATGTAAGGCATTTAAAACTTTGGTACACTATATTAATTTGTACCACAAGTAGTGGTTTATGTTGCCGACTTTTGCAAGCAAAGGTTTCAATTGCAGATTTTAAATGGATGATGGATACAAGTAGCTGTTCTCTGCTCCCTCTTAATTGATACGACCAACCGCCACATATGATGGCTGACAAAGCGTTAATGAATGTCAATATTTAATCGTCGCAAGATGTCAAGCCCACACGTAATGAAGCATTTTAACTTGGGAGGCCATAAACGTTCGAGCCAATTATTGAGTACTTCAGAATGAGAATCATGGGCGCATGCACCAGGGGAGGCGGGGACCCTGATGGTTTTGTATATAAATGATGCATTTGTGCATGATAATTAGTGATATGTGAAATATGCAACTGCATGATTGTGATTGATCGGCATAACTGAGTATAACTCTTCTGAATCAGTGTAATAACAAGCCAACCTGGCATGGTAACTTTGAAACTGATATACTTCTATTTAAAATGAAATTCCACGAGTTACTAGGACCACCAAGGCTTGGCGAGTAAGAGGTTGACTAAGAACATAGAGATAAGAGTTAATCTATTTCTGCTCTAAGTTCAAGTAGATATACCCAGTTGATGTCACTTGTACATCTTTAGGATAGATAAATTATATAGTAGATAGATTGGAATGCTCAAAGCTTTAAGCACTCATGAGCACGAGCTGAAACTTTGGTGGTTCAACACCATCACTGGAGGTAACCCTCTAGCTAATTACCACCAATTTCCCCAACCTCCGACGATGGTTGGTATCATTACTATCACTGTCCCTCTCTAGTACAAACCTAAACAAGTTGAAAGAATTCAATAACTTCCTCAATCCACGTGACAGCGTATCAGAAAGTTATTCGTTTCAAGAGTTCAATACTTGGTGGTCCTGAGAGAATGATATTAGTGGTGGCAATGACACTGAGAATACTACGAGCAGCGGGGTGCAGGACCTTCACTTTCAGGCACATGGTTACACAACATATGAAGAGTTTAAGCCAGCTTATCAACTGCTGTGCATGTAGCATTTATTCATTTATTGTGCAGGCCGACCGATCTTAGCGGCGCTACAACAGGCTAGAGAACAAATCAATCATTAATTCGTTGGTATGGTGTGTAATAACTTAGTTAATAAGTAGTTTGGATCAAATGTAAGAAGAGAAGCTGAAGAGGAAGAGCTATTCTAGAATGTCGGGGTGACGCACACCAAGTATTTGATGAAATGCTTGAGAGGCGTCACACATGGCAGAATCCTCTTTACCTATTATCGTACAATTAGGCCTTAACACCAATCAGAGAAAGCTGAAATCGGTAACAAAGTTTAGATATTTGTTAAAATCCAGGGAAATGGTTTAACTATGCATCTTTCTCACAGGTGACTTAGGAAAGAGGGAACAGGAGCAAATACTCTTAACCATGGCTAAGTTACAAAATGATTGAATTTGAGACTTGAATATCATATCAATTTCATAGAGACGAGGCGAACAGATTGCTCTCAAATAATTTAAAGTAACTAGTCAAATCAATGTATCCATTATGGCTGATCTACGATCTACAACCATCTCAAATGCTAGCCAAGCAGCCCGAACAGAACAAGAAATTTTTCCAGATTGCTGCCGCCAATCAAAGTTATCAACCCATAGATCTTATGTTCACAAAAATTCATACACAAAATTAATGATTCTTTAATATGAATGACGAAATAAGAATGGAGTGCTTGGATTGACATATCTCATCGGTATGAAAAACAGATGAAGAGCATTTTATTTTGAAAACATGATAGCAATCATTCAAAATTACTCAACACAAATCGTCTCAAGCAACTTCTTACTTGCTTCGCTCACTTCCAAATTCTCCATCTTCAAACGTCGACGCATCATAGGGCTTGTCCTCCCAGCAGCTGCATAAGTTCTTATCAATGATTCAAATACCTCCACCCCCAAGTCATCAACAGCCTTCTTCAAAACCTCCACAAAACCTTCTGCACCATCAACATCCTTATCATCTTCAAAATGCCCCATCAAAGTCCTAATAGTCTCAGAAGATGGGACCCACTTTCCACCATCCCCTCTACCAGTATCTATTGCTTTGGCTAAACAATCAACTGTCAATTTCATGTCTCCGTTCTTTAAATAATAATTCGAAAATATCTCCCAAGTTTTTGCATTAGGCTTCGCCCCTCTCCTACGGGCCCTCTTTCTGAGCTCTTCAGCCTTTTCAAGCAAACCCTCCTCAGCATAAGCTCCAATGAGAACATTTGCAACTCGGATATCATAAGTTGAGCAGCGAGATTCCCATTCCCTGAAACATTTCTCTGCACCCGGTAAATCTTTCAATTTAACTAACACCTGTATCATATTTAGGTAGGATATGTTTGCAGTTTTAGGAAAAGCCAGTCTCAGAGAACGCCATATTCGATAAACTTCAAGCAAGTTGCCCATACGACCATACAACGTAATTAAAAATTGGAAAGCAGAATGATCTCGACAAGCATTTCTCTTCTCCAATTCCTTAAGCACCTTTTCTGCCTTATCAAAATATCCAGCCTCAACATAAATTGCTGCTAAATTACTGTATGTTGTCCAATCTGAAGCAACTCGGCCATCCCTCTTCATCTCGTCAATGACTCTTTCAGCCCCGGAAATATCATTGGCAGCAGCCAGAGCCCTCATCCAGACATTGTATGTATAAGAATCTGGCATTACATTATTGGCTTTCATTTCTTGTATAATGGATGGTATCTTTTCTGGTTGGCCAATTTTCGTGTAAAGGGTCATGAGGCTGTTATAGGGCATGGAAGTTAAACCAATGTTGAGTTCCTTCATCTTTTCCATGAGAGCTTCTGCCTTTTCGGTCATCAATTCCTTGCAATAACAATTGAGAAGAGCACCATAAGTCAGATGGCTCTTCGATGTTTCAGGAAGATCAACAAAGTAATTCTCTGCAGCCTCAATGCCTCGACTTTTTGCAACTAGATCAAGATGAATAGCTTGATCACTGACTGTCTTGTTCATGCCCCTTTCAGCCATAGTTTCTGAGAGCTGTCAATCAAAACTTTTAGTTATGTGCAACTCAAAAAATAAATTAACACCAGCAAACACACGACCAAATGAGTTCATTAAACTAAGCAAATGCAGGCTTCTCAACTCCTAAAACAATAAGAAAAGGCTAGGTGATAATGTGGATGTTAATGCCAAGACAAGCAGCAACTATGTCAGACAAACTAAATGGCACGATTAAAATATGGAATGATGCAACACTACGGTTTCGCAAAAGTTGATGTTTTCTTAATTGCCAGTAAAAAAAAATAGAATGAAGATGGATGTCAAATGAACATCAATATCAGTATAATTCTACATGCTTAGTTTCTAGATAAAGTCTAAAAGCTGTCACTCCAAGCTCAATGCATAAACCAAACATAGCTGCTTTACAAAAACTGAATAAATTTCACAGTGATATTACAAGTGCCTTGGATTATTTTGCACAATAACACACATAACAACAAACTAATATCCGTAGCTAGTATTTTACAGACAATAAGAGATCAGAAGCACAATATAACAACCTTAGACCAATTCTATTAGTCAGTCCCTCTTTGTAATTGATGAAGTGGGTAATATAGAAATTAGTCCATTGGTGCATATCTTTTGCTCATTCACATTCTTCTGAACAAACTACTTCAGCTTTCTCTGATACATTAAACAACTCTATCAAGAGTTCCAAATTTTACAAATAAAAAATTTCATAGTTCAGTTACAAACAAATACTGAGACTATATAAAATTATTGATGCATTAAATTATAGCAGTTTGCACAGAATTTACCAACAGAGACTGAAATTATTAACATTTTCTCTAGTAATGAAGAGTGTTATGTTAAACAAAGAAAAAATTAAAAAGGAGAGAGACAGAAGAAACCTTGAGGGCAGGGTAATAGAGCTTGCGATCGCGAAGCTTCTTGATAGTATCACCGACTTCCCATTTGTAAACGCGTTTTGAGCTCTTAAGAAACTGGTTCAATTGCTGTCGAACGCTAACCTCAGAGCTGCCTTCTTTAAAGAGCCTTTTATAAAGCGCTTCTTCCAAGTACTTCTTTGACCTCTTTGTTACGTTCTTGGTCCGTCCATATTGTTGAAGCATCGCCATTATAGAACTACTTCCAATCTGGTTCGATCTCGATGTACCGAGTTAAAAGAATGTAAACTCTAGGGTGTGTTCTTCTATGCAGCTCTCAGTAGGGTTTTGGCTGGAAATGAAAGAGACACTGTTGAGACTTGGGGCTTGGGGCTTGGGGCTTGGGCTGCTATTAGGTCGTGTATGAATAACGTTATGGGCCCTAACTGATTCAAGCGTAGCTATGCTTATGCCCCATAAACAAACTAGAAAAGTTTTGTTATAGTTTGTGTTTTACTGGTGTACTATCAAGAAAATAAACTAATAAGGACTGCAATTAAATAAGCAAAGTAAAGAGGGTTAAAATGTGACCGAATCTTATTAGCTTTTCTCAAGTTTTTGTTTGCGTAAAATTAGTGAATGAAGGGGGCTTTATATAGTGGTCTTTGTCGTTCATTCTTCCAATCTTTCATTGTCAATACAAGAGATAGGTGGCTTCACATAGAGATGCGTGATCCACTTGTCCATCGCCAAGCCATTTGTCATTGGCTAAAAATGTGACATAAGTGTGAAAAGCCACATAACCTATAGCACTCCTACTTGGATTTCACCACTTTCAAATAATTGTATTTAACCTTATTAAAAAATAAATCCAGTAGGACAAAAACCTAACTAAAGAAACACAATTCTATAATGAAATTTGTAAAGTGGTGTTGGATGTACTTAATACTGCCTCATTAAAAACCTTACCAGGAAAACCCAATGAGACAAAATTTAGTCAAGGGAAAAAGAGTACAGTGCACATATGTCTATACAATAGTCCCTTCCAAACTTATGCTCTCCCTCATAATGGTAAAATTAACTTAGTTATTTATTAAGTTGCCACATACCAATGTTATACATTAACTTTTCAAATGTTGATGTCGGTAAGGTGTTAGTGAATAAGTCGGCAAGGTTACCATTAGAGCGTATTTGTTTGACATTAATCTCTCGATTCTGTTCGAGTTTGTGAGTGTAAAAGAACTTCGTTGAAATATACTTAGTTTTGTCTCCTTTAATATATCCTTCTCTAACTTGAGCAATATATGTTGCATTGTCTTCATTTAAAATTGTAAAAGTATCTGAGGTACATAGTAACTTGCATGTATTCTCGATATGATGGATGAAAGATTTTAACCATATGTATTCTCGGTTGGCTTCATGAAGCGCAAGAATCTTGGAGTGCTTGGAAGAAGTAGCAACCAATATTTGTTTTGTAGAACGTCATGATAATATAATGTCATTGTAAGTAAAAACATATCATGTCTGCGAGTGGGTTTTGTTGGGATCAGAAAGGTACTCAACATCTATATAACCAACTAATTTTGGATCATTAAAAAAAATCTTTGGATAAAATAATCTCAAGTATTTTGTTCCACTAAGGTAACGAAAGATATGTTTGATCCTATTCCAATGTCGGCAAGTCGTTGTAGAGTTAATCTTGCCAACAAATAAAAATGCAAATGCTATGTCTGGTCTAGTACATTATGTCAAATATAATAATGCACTTATTGCTTTCAGATATAGTACTTCAAGACCAAGTATTTTTTTCGTCATCTTCTTGAGGATGAAACGGATCCTTCTTAGAATCAAGAGACCGAACTACCATTGGGGTACTTAAGGGGTGAGCTTTATCGATATTAAACTGCTTTAGTATCTTTCAATATAATTTGACTGATGGAGTAGTATTACATTTAAGCAATGCTCAATCTGCAAGTCGAGACAATATTTTGCTTTCCCTAGATCCTTTATTCAACTTCTCTTTTTAAGTATTCAACAACTTTTGTAAGCTCTATAGGAGTTGAAATTAAGTTTATGTAATCGACATATACTGCCACAATGGTAAAAAATTATTTTGACATTTTTATAAAAACACATGGGCATATAGGGTTATTGATGTATCATTACTTTATCAAATATTCACTGAGATGATTATACCACATTCGTCCTGATTGTTTCAACTCATATAATGATCTTAGCAATATTATTGAATACATGTTCCTTTGACTTGCTTTATTTACTTCTGGCATTTTGAATCCTTAAGAGATTTTCATACAGATACCAATATCTATTGTATCAAACAAATATGTAGTGTCAACATCCATCGGATGCATATCTAGTCTTTTTGAGATTGATAAACTAATTAAGTATCTAAATGTGATCACATATAGAGGTGTCAAGCAAGTTGAGCGACTTGCATGCCGAGTCGAACCAAGTTCGAGCATCCCAATACTCGGCTCAAGTAGCTTAGGAGCTTACTCGAGCTTGACAAGGGATATATGCAAGTTCTACAACTATTAAGAGGGTCTCTATAATTCACCATTTTGCCTTCTAAGTTCTAAATTATGTCAAAGTGACATTTACATACCATTTTAACTCAAATATCAAACCTCAAATTCCAATTCTCTCTGCGACCATGACTCCGCCGCTCGCTTCATCTATCCTCCGATTTCTTCATCTCTCTATGACTCCGTTGATTTCTTCATCTCTCTATGACTCTGTCTACTCCATGATCTCTCCGCTGCTCCGCTGACTTAGGTAGTCTAGATATTTAATTAGTTACAAATATAACCAAATAATTTTTTTGGTAGATGAGACAATCATTAATATCATAGGGCTTAACTTGATGAATGTTCTTTTGTCAAAAGCTGGATGATATTAGTTTGTGTCTTCTGTAAATTTGACTAGAGATTTAAGTTAGATGAATGGTAATGACTAAGTTTGATTGTTTCCTGATGAAGCCAATTATTTTTCAAGTTTTGAACAGGTGATTCAAGCTCAAGCTCAATATTTCAAGATGGATTGAGCTTGAGCTCGAGCTTTGACTATTACAGTCGAGCCGAACTTGAGCTTCCCAATACTCGGCTCGACGCGACTCAATTATACCCTTAATTGCATTCATCACTGGTGAATACGTCTCATCAAAGTCAATGTCAAGTCTTTGCAGGAAACCTTGAGCCACGAGTTTATCCTTATATCTAGCAATCCCAATTTTTCTAATTTCTTTTTCTTATGAATACCCATTTGTATCTTACAAGTTTAACGTTTTTAAGAGTTTGGACTACATGTCCAAATACATTACGTTTTGCTAGAGAAGTTAATTATGCCTGAATTTCTTCTTCCCAGCTTGGCCAATTGAGACTCTTTCGACCCTCATGGACAAAATTACACTCAAAATCATCATTCATAATTTCCATATTTCTTTTGTATGAGCACAACTTGTAGAAATTTCTTCATGTCTATGTTCTTGTGTTTCTTTAGGGATTTGTTCCTCTTCAAGGGTTTGTGTCTTTTTAGGGATTGTTAACTTTTCTGGAGTTAGTTTAAAAAAATGTAGAATTGTCGATTATCCTAGTATTGTCAATACTGATATCTATTTGACCTTTGCCTTCTGTTTCTTAGGAACAACATCCTTGGCTCCAACAGGTGTACCACGCTTCTAGCATGTAACAGATGAATCAACCGATGCACGAATGAAGTGTTCATTGGTAACATCAATCCTTGTTGATGTATTAATAAAAGGTATGTATGATCTTGTTACTTTCGCTACATCTATAAATGTATCAGACCTTTGATTGGCAAATGTGTTATTCTTTGCATTTCAATTTCATATTGGGATGTGCAAGGATCTAAATGGGACATAGAATTTATTTTTCCAAGAAAGTTCAAGCTTTACTTTATGAGGCTTTACCTTTTCCCTTGAAGACGAAAATATTGTCTCAACAAAATGGCAATTGAGCAAAAGCAACATTACGGGTTGGCTATAAACAAACATGTGACCATTGTGCCGATGTGTCAATCAATATCATACAGTAGTAGAATGGTCCACTTGATGGATGAATATGTCCATATATGCCCCTTGAATTCTTTGTAAAAATAATGGAGATTCTATACCAACTTTAGAGAGGGGTGACTTAATTACCAATTTACCTTGTGAGCAAGCATTACAAGTGATGTCATTAGGCAACATAATCTTCTAGTTCTTTAACGAACACCCATGTGAGTTTTCCACAATCTTACGCATCATAGTGAATCTTAGGTGACCAAGATGGCCGTGAAAATTTTGAAAGTTTAGGATCAGTGAACTTTTGGTTCATAACTATGTATGTTTCAATATTCTTTACAAATGTATAATATAACCCAGATGAGAAAGCATGAAGTTTCTCTAGTATGTGCTTCTGACATAAAACATTGGAAATGATGCACATAAATTTTGTATCATTCTCACTTAAAGTTTCAATGTGATATCAATTGATTCGTATATCTTTGAAACTAAGCAATTTTTTTCTAGATTTGCTAGAATATAAAACATCATGGTACTCAACTTAGTTTCGCTTGCTAACATGAGTGTCACTCTTCCAGAGCCCTAAAAAATGTTTACAGACCTTGATATGGTATTTAGTTTAGCTTCAACTAATGTAAAATCTAAAAAATATTTTTTCATCTCGGAGGGTAGTTGTTACACAGCCTGCACTATCTACCAAACAAATGTCTTCATAGGGGTGGACCCACATGGGGTCATGTGGGGTACTTCGGGTTTTATTTTTTATTTTTTTATTTTTTACCCAACAACAATACTAAATTAAAAAATTACATTAAACTAAATTAATTAAAAATTTTGACTTTCTCTAATAATATATTTCCCTATTTTTTCCCCAATCCCAACTTTTTCTCTTGCTCAGCGTTTTCTCTTCCCCAACCCCAGTGTGCCCCACCACTCAATTGAAGAATCGCCACTATTTTCAGAATCTCTTTAATAGTAAGAATATTTGTTGATTTCCTTTTTTTACTTGATTCAATTATTGAGTTTTGTTTAATTAATTTTATTTAAGTTCTCTAGAATGTCCTTTATAGTGTTGTGCTCATGGGTAATTTTGATTGGCTTTCACTATGTTTCTTCAAGCACATGTAGAATTTTTTTTTCTGCATAAATGCTGAGGTTGTTGGCATGTTGCTATAGTTTTGTGCTTGGCTGACTGCTACTTTTTATCTTCTAAGTGTGTTTTAATTTTATTGAGCTACCAAGCAAAAGCAAGAAATAGATTGTTGACTTGTTGTTCTTGTATCAAGAAAACAAGGGGTGCGTTTGTTTCCCTATTTTTGCCTTATCCTATTCCTATCATTTCCAAAATACATATTTATTTCCCTATTCTGAAAATACTATTATATTTTATTCAATTATTTTTAAACCCCCTAAGTTTATTAATTTAAACTAAGCACCCCAAAAAAAAAGTTTAGAAATTGACAAAAACACCCCCACCCACCCACCCACACTTGCCAGATTCTGGTCACCACCACTGGAAGGTGGCCGAAATCCAGTATAATGGCGTACTACCAGCTGGATATGGT